TCCAACGTCTTCTTTCTTCCTTCTCTCATCTCTCTCATCCAATTCTCTCCTTCTCTCATTCTTCATCCTCCGTCCTCCTTCTCTCATTCTTCATCCAACTCTTCCTTCTCTTCTTCTTCTTCATCCATCCATCTTCCTTCTCTCTTCTTCATCCAACATCTTCTTTTTCTCTCCTCTCTCATCTTCATCCAACCTCCTCTTTCTTCCTTCCTCTCCCATTCTTTATCCAACCTCTCTTCCTTCTCTCATTCTTCATCCAACGTCTTCCTCCTTCCTCCATCTCTCATTCTTCATCCAACGTTCTTCCTTCTCTCATTCTTCATCCAACATCTTCCTCTCCTCATCTTCTCCCAATCCTCTTCTTTCTCTCCTTCTCTTCATTTTTCATCCAACTTCTTCTTTCTCTTCCTTCTCTCTTCTTTATCCAACTTCTTCCTTCTCTCATTTCTTCATCCAACCACTTCCTCCTTCCTTCTCTCATTCTTCATCCAACGTCTTCCTTCTCTCATTCTTCATCCTCAACTCTTCCTTCTCTCATTCTTCATCCAACTCCTCCTCCTTCTTCCCTCTCTCATCCATCTTCATCCAACTCTTCCATCCTTCTCTCATTCTTCTTCAACTCTTCTTCCTTCCTTCTCTCATTTTTCATCCAACGTCTTCCTTCTGTCATTCTTCATCCAACATCTTCCTTCTGTCATTCTTCATCCTTCTCATCTTCATCATTCTTCATCTTCATCTTTTGTCTTCTTCTGTCTTCCACCCTCCTTCTCATATCCCCAACTTTTCCCTAATCCTTCTTCTTCCTTCTTCTTCATTCTTCATCCAACGTCTTCCTTCTCTCCATTCTTCATCCAACCTCTTCCTTCTCTCATTCTTCATCCAACGTCCCCTTTTCTTCTCCTCATTCTTCATCCCAACTTCTTCCTTCTCTCATTCTTCCTCCAACGTCTTCCTTCTCTCAATCCTTCATCCAATGTCTTCCTTCTGTCATTCTCATCATCCTCTTCTTCCTTCTCTTCTCTTCACCCAACATCTTCCTCCTCTGTCATTCTTCATCCCTTCTTCCTTCCTTCCTTCTCTCATTCTTCATCCAACCTCTTCTTCTCTCATTCTCTCATCCAACCCTTCCTTCTCTCACCCTTCTTCATCTTCTCTTCCTTCTCTTAGTCTTCTTCTCCAACTTCTTCCTACTGTCATTCTTCATCCTCGTCTTCCTCCTTCTTCTCTCCTTCTTCTTCTTCCAACCTTCCTTCTCTCATTCTTCATCCAATCCTCTTCTTCCATCTTCCTTCTCTCATTCTTCATCCAACGTCTTCTTCCTTCTTCTTCTTCTTCTCTCTTCTTCATCCAACGTCTTCCTTCTCTCATTCTTCTTCCTCCTCATCTTCCTTCTTCCTTCTCTCATTCTTCATCCAACCTCTTCCTTCTTCTCAATCTCTTCTTCCTCCATCTTCCTTCTCTCATTCTTCATCCAATCCTCTTTTTTCTTCCTTCTCTCATTTTTTCATCCAACCCCTTCTTTCTCCCTTCTTCTCATTCTTTTCCAACGTCTTCCTTCTCTCATTCTTCATCCAACGTCTTCCTCCTTCCTTCTCTCATTCTTCATCCAACGTCTTCCTTCCTCTCATTCTTCATCCAACATCTTCCTTCTCTTCATTCTTCATCCAACTCTTCCTTCTTCCCTCTCTCATTCTTCTCCAACGTCTTCCTTCTCTCTTCTTCTTCTTCCACGTCTTCTTCTTCCTTCTCTCTCATCATTTTTCATCCAACGTCTTCCTTCTGTCATTCTTCATTCAACATCTTCCTTCTGTCATTCTTCATCCAACGTCTTCATTCTTCATCTTCATCTTTTTCTCTTCTTCTTCTTCCCCCCTTCCTTCTCATATCCCCAACTTTTCCCTAATATTCCTTCTGTCATTCTTCTCCAACGTCTTCCTTCTCTCATTCTTCATCCAACATCTTCCTTCTCTCATTCTTCATCCAACGTCTTCCTTCTCTCATTCTTCATCCAACGTCTTCCTTCTCTCATTCTTCATCCCCTCCACGTCTTCCTTCTCTCAATCTTCATCCAATGTCTTCCTTCTTCTTCTTCATCCCAACGTCTTCCTCTCTCATTCTTCACCCAACATCTTCCCTTCTGTCATTCTTCATCCAACCCTGCCTTCTTCCTTCTCTCATTCTTCATCCAACGTCTTCCTTCTCTCATTCTTCATCCAACGTCTTCCTTCTCTCATTCTTCATCCAACGTCTTCCTTCTCTTAGTCTTCATCCAACTTCTTCCTACTGTCATTCTTCATCCACGTCTTCCTCCTTCCTTCTCTCATTCTTCATTCTTCATCCAACGTCTTCCTTCTCTCATTCTTCATCCAATGTCTTCCATCTTCCTTCTCTCATTCTTCATCCAACGTCTTCTCTTCTTCCTTCTCTCATTCTTCTTCATCCAACGTCTTCCTTCTCTCATTCTTCATCCAACATCTTCCTTCTTCCTTCTCTCATTCTTCATCCAACGTCTTCCTTCTTTCATTCTTCATCCAACGTCTTCCTTTTCTCATTCTTCATCCAACATCTTCCTTCTTTCTTCTCTCATTTCTTCATCCAACGTTCTTCTTTCTCTCATTCTTCATCCAACGTCTTCTCTTCTCTCATTCTTCATCCAACGTCTTACTTCTCTCATTCTTCATCCAACGTCTTCCTTCTCTCATTATTCATCCAATGTCTTCCTGATTTCTTCTCTCATTCTTCATCCAACGTCTTCCTTTTTCCTTCTCTCATTCTTCATCCAACGTCTTCCTTCTCTCATTCTTCATCCATCCAACCTTCCTTCTTCCCTCTCTCATTCTTCTTCCAACGTCTTCCTGCTTCCTTCTCTCATTCTTCATCCAACGTCTTCCTTCTCTCATTCTTCATCCAACATCTTCCTTCTCTCATTCTTCATCCAACATCTTCCTTCTCTCATTCTTCATCCAACGTCTTCCTTCTCTCATTCTTCATCCAACATCTTCCTGCTTCCTTCTCTCATTCTTCATCCAACGTCTTCCTTCTCTCATTCTTCATCCAACATCTTCCTTCTCTCATTCTTCATCCAACATCTTCCTTCTGTCATTCTTCATCCAACGTCTTCATTCTTCATCTTCATCCAACATCTTCTTCATCTTTCGTCTTCTTCTGTCTTCCACCCTCCTTCTCATATCCCCAACTTTTCCCTAATATTTCTTCTTCTGTTTTCCGTCATCTTACATCAACCTACATCTTTCTTTTTTTGTCTTCCTCCTTCAGTTTTTTTCCTTTTATCATTATTTTCTTTTTTTTTGTCTCCAGTCTTCCTTCATCCTCTTTTATCTTCCATCTTTTTCTGTTTTTTTTCTCGCCTCTTCCGCCTTCTTTCATCTTCCTTCTTCTGTTGTCTTCCTTCATCTTCTCTCATTCTATCATGCTTTGTCCTAATTTTTTTTCTTGGTCTGTCTTCTTCATCTTCCACCTTTTTTTTATCATCTTCTGTCTTGCTTCATTATATTTGTTTCTTCTTTTTCTGTCTTTCCTCAGCTTTCTTCTTCTCCTATCTTCCTTCATCTTCTGTCTTCTATTTTTTTTCATCTGTCTTACTTCGTCTAACTTCTTCTTTCATCTTCCTTCTCCTTCCTTCCTTTTTTTTCTTTTATTTTCTGTCTTCCTTCATTTGCCTCCTTTTTTTTTTCTTCTGTCTTATTTCATCTTGTGCTTTCTTCTGTCTTTAGTCATCTTCCATCTTACAAAAACAATATTTTTATTTCACTCTTGAATGCTTTTTAAGAAGAAAATTCTGATTTTCCTTTCAGTGTGCCAAGAAGAGGATCTTTTTTTATATTAAACCAATTTCAGGTTCATAAGAATATTTCAGGACAGAAGTATCAAAGAAGAGATCCCCATGGTTAGTCCCTTCCAGAAGGAGGAGAGTCCATTTCCCGCTCCACCAATCAGGATGGAGAACGAGCGTGGTATTATGACTGACAGGATATTAAACCTCACCCTTGAGATCCTTTACTTGCTGACCGGAAAGGTGAGGAGGATTCTGGGAGGTCACATGACATCACTCTTATCTCTAATAATAAAACGCAGACCTGACTGGAGAGGTGAGGAGGATTCTGGGAGGTAACATGATATCACTCTTCTCTCTAATAATAAAACACAGACCTGACCGGAGAGGTGAGGAGGATTCTGGGAGGTCACATGACATCACTCTTATCTCTATTAATAAAACGCAGACCTGACCGGAGAGGTGAGGAGGATTCTGGGAGGTAACATGACATCAGTCTTATCTCTAATAATAAAACACAGAGCTGACCAGAGAGGTGAGGAGGATTCTGGGAGGTCACATGACATTGCTCATCTCTAGTTATAAAGTACATAACTGACCAAGGAGGTGAGGGATTTTAGGACTGTTGGTGTGACATTTCTAGTACTTACTTTCTATGAATAAAATGCATTATATTTCTAAAAGGTATTTATTAGTTTATCTTATTATTTAGAATTATGGTCCTCTGAAGGATTCTAGCAAGAATACACATTCCCCAGTGTCAAGGGGATGGAATGGGTGCCAAAATCCAATCACAAAGCCTCCATCCCCTTTCCTGAAAGCTGAAAGAAACAATGACAGGAAAATCCTAGAAGTCACCCAGAAGATCATTGAGCTGCTGACGGGAGAGGTGAGCGGTGCCGGGAATTCTGGGACATTCTCCAGTAACAGGCAAGGGATGTGTCTGGATGGTGACTGTATCATTGTGTGTGTCAGGTTCCTATAAGGTGTCAGGATGTCACTGTCTATTTCTCCATGGAGGAGTGGGAGTATATAGAAGGACACAAGGATCTCTACAAGGACGTCATGATGGAGAACCGGCCACCCCTCACATCACCAGGTAAGAGGAGACTTTCATTTCTTGTATTGAGGATCCACATAGATACACACATCCTCTGATATAAAGACATAGAAACAATGGATTCAGTCAGTGTGTGTGTTTCCTACAGATGGATCCAGTAATGGGAACCCACCAGAGAGATGTCCCCGTCCTCTGTATTCCCGGGACTCCAAACAGGAAGGTCCCACCATCCCTCACCATCATCAGGTAGATGGATCCAGTAATGGGAACCCACCAGAGAGATGTCCCCGTCCTCTGTATTCCCGGGACTCCAAACAGGAAGGTCCCACCATCCCTCACCATCATCAGGTAGATGGATCCAGTAATGGGAACCCACCAGAGAGATGTCCCCGTCCTCTGTATTCCCGGGACTCCAAACAGGAAGGTCCCACCATCCCTCACCATCATCAGGTAGATGGATCCAGTAATGGGAACCCACCAGAGAGATGTCCCAGTCCTCTGTATTCCCAGGATTCAATAGAGGAGGATCACAACATGCCACAGGATTCTGTAGATGTTTGCTACAATTATCAGGTATGTTGGTTGCCGTAAATGGGCATACATTCAACGGCCACTTTATCAGGTCCACCTTGCTAGTATCGGATTGAACCCGCTTTTGCCTTCAGAATGGCCTTAATACTTCATGGCATAGATTCATCAAGGTGTTGTAAACATTCCTCAGAGTTTCAGTCTATATAGACATGAGTTGCTGTTTCCTTTCTATCATCTCAAACCAGTCTGCCCATTCTACTCTGACCTCTGGCATTCACAAGGCATTTTCATCCACATAGTTTCTGCTCACTGGATATTTTCCTTTTTTCGGACCATTCTCTGTAAACCCTAGAGATGGTTGTGCATGAAAATCCCAGTAGATCAGCGGTTTTTGAATTACTCAGACCAGCCCGTCCAGCACTAACAACCATGCCACGTTCAAAGTCACTTAAATCCCCTTTCTTCCCCATTCTGTTGCTTCACCACGTCTAGATGCCTAAATGCATTGAGTTGCTGCCATGTGATTGGCTGATTAACAATTTTTAACAAAAGTATTACCAAGCAATTGAACGGGTGTACCTAATAAAGTGGCCCGTGAGTGTACATCTGCTCTTCAGACAGGTTGGTTAAAATCTATGCATTGTGAAGGTGTGATCATGTAAGGGCAATTGAAAAAAATTTTTATTTTAGTTTTTTGTATCTTATCTAGGGTAAAAACCTGATTGTGATCAAAGTTGATGATTCTGATGACGAAGAGCTATATGAAATGGGTGGTGAGCCGTGTAGGGAGGAGGAAATTCCTCCAGAGATCAACACAGGTGGGTAATAGACACTAAATCCAGAAAGGAGTCCCAGATTGTCCTTGTTCAGGGACAACAACTGTCTCTACTCCTCCCTCCTATGCCAGTAGGCAATAACCTCTCATAATTGGCACAGCAGATGTACAGACCCAGGAACTCAGTGCCAGGATGGTGGGAATCCCCCATAATGGGCACAGTGGATGTACAGACCCAGGAACTCAGTGCAAGGATGGTGGGAAACCCCCCCCCCATAATGGGCACAGTTTAAGTACAGACCCGGGAACTCAGCACAGGGATGGTGAGAAATTTTTTTTAGAAAGACAACAGCAGGTGGGAATTCTGGACAGGGAAGGTGGGAACCCTCCCCCATAATGGGCACAGCCTGCCTACAGACTTTCGAACTCAGCACAAGAATAGTGGGAACTCTTCATAAAGACCACAGCAGGTGGGAACCCTCCCCCATAATGGGCACAGCGGGCATGCAGACCCGGGAAACTCAGCACAAGAATAGTGGGAACTCTTCATAATGACCACAGCAGGTGGGAATTCTGGACAGGGATGGTGGGAACCCATCCCATAATGGGCACAGCGGGCGTGCAGACCCAGGAACTCAGCACAGGGATGGTGGGAACTTTCATAATGACCACAGCAGGTGGGAATTCTGGACAGGGATGGTGGGAACCCTCCCCCATAATGGGCACAGTGGGCATGCAGATCCAGGAACTTGGCACAAGAATAATGGGAGCTCTTCATAATGACCACAGCAGGTGGGAATTCTGGACAGGGATGGTGGGAACCCTCCCCCATAATGGGCACAGTGGGCATGCAGATCCAGGAACTTGGCACAAGAATAATGGGAGCTCTTCATAATGACCACAGCAGGAGGGAATTCAGCACAGGGATGGTGGAAACCCTTCATTTTGGGCATTGTATATGTGTAGACTCAGAAACACAGCACAGGGAGGGTGGGAGCCCCTCATTATGGGCACATCAGGTGTGCAGACCTTGGAACTCAGTGCAAGGATAGTGGGAACTACCCATAATGGGCCCAACAGGTGTACGGACTTGGGAACTCCTAATAATGGCTGAGCAGGTGTGCAGACCTAAGAATTCAGCACAGGGATGGTAGGAATAAGAACCCTTCATTATGGGCACTGCAGATGTACAAACCCAAAAACACAGCACATAGATGGTGGTGGCACATCAGGTGTGCAGATCCGGAAACTCAGTGCAAGGAAAGTGGGAACTACCCATAATGGGCCCAACATGTGTATGGAGTTGGGAACTCCTAATAATGGCTGAGCAGGTGTGCAGACCTGGGAATTCAGCACAGATATGGTAGGAACCCTTCATTATGGGCACTGCAGATGTACAGACCCAAAAGCCCAGCACAGGGATGGTGGTGGCCCCTCATTATGGGCACATCAGGTGTGCAGACCTGGGAACTCAGCTAAAGGATGTTGGGAACCCCTCCATAATGGGCACAGAAGTCATGGAGACCAAAAAACTCAATTATAGTAGGATTCCCTCATAATGGGCACAGAAGGCATGGAGACCAAAAAACTCAATTCTAGTAGGATCCCCTCATAATGAGCACAGCAGGTGTACAGGCCCAGGAACTTAGTGCAGAAAGATCCCCAGATATGAGAAGTTTATCAATTTAACTCGGCAGAAGAGACTGTTGAACCCTCCATCTGCCAAACACTGAAATATCAGTTTGGGTGGACTAACCCTTTAATTAGCAGCTCGAGCAATTCCTTTTAGCCACATTTATTTTTTTTTGTGCTGTTGAAGGTTCTCTTGCCCACATCCAGAGAGCAGCGCACTCTTCCAGTACTAGACCTAGATGACGAAACATACAATTGTCTTCTATCTTGATTCTGACAATAGTTCAGTCATTCCTGTTTCCCTCCCATCTTTCTTTCCTCCAGATGGACACTATAAAACAAGTAACACACAGACATATCCTCCATTGTCTCAATATGCTGAAATAGAGGACAATGACATCACATCCAGTTCTTCGGGAGAAAACCTTGTCATTCCAAATCCCCATCCTATACCTCACAGCATATATTTTTTCTTCAAATCTCTCGTCGCATATGGGGTACTTTCCTGAATCACTACACCCCGTCACCCATCATACAGCCCTCAACGGGGAAGACATGTTCCTCTATTCTGGGGTTGGCGATCATTTTAGCCAACATAGAAGACTTGTGGAACGCCGGAACAGATATCCGGCCAGGAAGCTCTATTCTTGTTCCCAGTGCGGGAAATGTTTCATGCAGAACTCCCATTTGATCATACACCAGAGGATTCACACCGGAGAAAAGCCCTTTTCGTGTTCATACTGCGGAAAATGCTTCAACGTTAAGTCCCATCTGGTGACCCATCAGAGGATTCACACGGGGGAGAAGCCTTATTCGTGCTCAGAGTGCGGGAAGTGTTTTTCCAAGAGGTCCAACCTTGTTCGGCACCACAGGCTGCACACAGGGGAGAAGCCTTATTCTTGTACAGAATGTGGGGCCTGTTATACGTGGAAACCGTCCCTACTGCTTCATCTTAGGAAACACAGAAGATGAAGACATGATTATGTTCTGAAAGAGGGAACCCTTATCGTATGGTATCCCACCTGGCGAATGTGCACGGGAACAAAATCGTCTGGGAGGATATGAGGTCCTCCGTTGCATCCAGAGGGCTGTTGCTTGAAACTTGTGCCTGTGCTTTTCACCACAATATATTACATTTAGATAGTCCCTTGATGCCAGCAGCTCCAGGGCCCTAGTTTCAGTTCACACCAGGGGCACTGCATGGAGTTTTTTTTTTTTTTTCTTTTATTACACAGTTCCCTGGTTTAAATCCACGATCAGAAAAAAATGACATTTAAATTGACTTTCACCCAGATGGTGTGTGTGTAGCAGGATCATTAGAGTATAAGCTCCTCAGGGGCGGGGACTAATATGAAAAACTCAGCAGAAGTGCAGTGTAGAAAACTCAGCACTGTATAAAGGTGTTAAAGTCTAATTAACCCCTTTACGCCGGCCGCACACAGATGTGCGGCCTCCCGGCCTCTGGGCCTAGACACCGAGCGGCTGCACATTTCCGTTCAGGTAAGAAAAAACGTGCTGAGAGCGCGCTCCCAACACACACATGTCCGGTACCCACGGAAAGGTCCCGGTCTGCTCTTTCAATCAGGACTGTTCCCGATCATGTGACCGCCGTGACGACGCGTCACAGTGGTCACATGATCTCTAAACCCCGCCCATCTCGCCTTCCGCCTTCTGAAACTCTTAAAGGGCTGGGAGGCGCCGGCGGGAAGGGGTTAAAGACAAAACTTTTTTTTTAGTGGAGAGGGATTAAAACACCTGTCAGTTTTTCTTGCTGTCTGTCCCAGTTAGGGAGATCTTCTCTATTTGTCCTGTTAAGCCCTCATGCACACGGGACGTTTTCATAATGCTGGTAACGTTAGCTGTGTAAAGTCCTGTTAAAAAAAGTGAGGTTTTTCTGCGTTTGCATTTTTTTTAACCAAAAAAAAATTTTGGTCAAAAAAAGTCCAAAACTGCAGTTTTGCAGTTTTTACAGCTAAAAAACTCCTAGAAACTAGTGGTGCGCTGAAATGAAAAATTCTGGTGCCGAAACTGAAAATTCAAAATGCACTTGGCCAAAAACCGAAATGTGCAGTTTTTAAAAATGAATATATATTTTTGGGAAAAAAATACACTTTGATTAAAAAAAACAATATATACCCCAATTGTTTTGTAAAATATGAAAGAAGATGTTACGGCGAGTAAATAAATACCCAACATGTCACACTTTAAAATTGCGCACGCTCGTGGAATGGCGTGAAACTGCGGTACCTAAAAATCTCCATGGGTGATGCTTTACAAATGTCTACAGGTTACCAGTGTAAAGTTACAGAGGAGGTCTAGTTCGAGAATTATTGCTCTTGCTCTGATGCTCTGATGTTCGTGGCGATACCTCAGGTGTGTGGTTTGAACACCGTCTACATATGTAGGCGTGGCCTACGTATGTGTCCACCACTACGTCTGAGGACGGGGGTACTTTAAAAGTTTTTTAAGAAATGTGTTTAATTTTTGTTTGTGTGGGGTTTTTTTTTTTGGACTGTTCCTTTAAAAAAAAAAAAAAAAAAAAAATTATAATCACTTTTATTCTTATCACAAGAAATGCATGCATCCCTTGTGATACAAATAATTAGTGACAGGTCCTCTTTATGGAGAGATGTGGGGTCAATAAGACCCCACATCTCTCCTCTGCAATGTAAAGCATTGGATCAAAAAAAAGCATTGATCAAGTGCTTTAAAAAGAAAAAAAAAAATGGCCGTATGTGACATCGCTCCGGTCTTCCAAGGGCATAGAGATGTGTGGCGCCCATCTTTCCTTCACTCATCTCTATGCCCAGTCCCGGGATCAATGGGTTCTCAGGTAAGACTGAACTACCGAGTGGCGAGGGGCAGGCGGCTTTGAGAAGTGGAGTTTTTTCAGCACTTGTATTTGTGCTTTTTTTTTTTCATTTCGGCCAAAAGGGGTGTTTTCAGCCGAAATGTTTCGGCCACTGGAATTTCGGTGCATCCCTACTAGAAACCCACTAGTTCTGGGGTTTTTTTTTCCAGCCAAAAAAGTTGATTCCAGTCTATGTGTGTAGACCTAGGATAACATGCTGGGGGGTTTACTGGCTGTAGAAAAAAACGTCAAAAGCCAAAAAGAGCTGGCGTAAAAACGTCCCGTGTGCATGAGGACTTACCGTTATCATTGAAAGTAAAAAAAAAAAAATCCCAAATTTTGGGTTGTCCCCAGGAAAGTAAGAGGGGAAATCTTCCAATGTGGACACTAGTTCTGGTGAGCTGGGGAGTCCCCAAGGAATTCCCTTAATTTGCAGGGATTTCCTGTCACTTCCTGTTTGACTATGGAACAGGAAGTGAAGGAAAATCTCCCCAATGTGGCATGTACATTAGGCAGGTGTACATTTAACCTCAAATTTAAAAAAAAACAACAAAAAAAAACCCATGATGCTCCAGGTACAGCCACACACTAAAAAAAAACACATTCAGTCTTTGTTAACCAAAGCTTCACCACAAACTTGAACAAGAGGGCGAGTCAAAAAAAGAGGGCGAGTCAAAAAAAGAGGGCAAGTCAAATCCGTACCAGTAGCGCTGTAAAAATATAGCACAGATGTTGTAGCATTTCCTCAGTTTGCTGAAAATTTTTGTAAGAAATAAAAATTGATGGTTCTCTGTTGACTACATTTTTTGTGTCGTAATGTGTGAATGTGAAGTGCCGTTTCAGTATGTGGCCACTACCGGGATCAGATTGGAGGTTACACGACTTTACCCCTTGGCCTCATTCATGTACAATCCGATTGCCTCTCGGGGGATCAGGAAGGAATTTTTTTTCCCTGCTGGAGCAAATTGGATCATGCTTTACTGTTTTTTTTTTGCCTTCCTCTGGATCCACTGTGGGTGTAGGGTTATAACTTTTTATTATGGTTGAACTGGATGGAATTTTGTCTTTTTTTAGCCAGACTAACTATGTAACATTTAGGGCTCCATGTACACTGCAGGTGATAAACTCACGTTTAGGAGCTTTTCTGCGTTTTTTTTTTCAGCAGCCCCTGAACTCTCCCTAATGTTTTCCTATGTGTCCATGTACACATCATCGTTTACAGGCAGTTGAGTTTTCAGTCGTTTTTTTTTAACGCAGAAAACTTGCGTTCAGCAGTTGATTTTATAAGCGTTTCAAACGCAAAACACTTGTAAACGTGGAAAAAATTTTTCCCTCTTCCAGTTCCCAATGCTGTCCAGAGCCTTTTTTCATCATGAAAAATGCATGCAAAGCGTTTTCAAGGTACTCAGATAGACAAAACACTGAACACAGGATGTTCCTACCAAAACTGGTCACACATTGTAATGACCAATTCACACCTCAGACCTCTCCCACCCTTGGAAACAAAAGATATGTTAATGACCATTCATACCTCAAATTCCTCATGAAGACCCCCTGCCAGGAGGCCTTAATGACTCTTTCCACCACAGACACCTTTCCCACCCTTGGAAACAAAAGAAATGTTAATGAGCAACTCATACCTAAGCTAATCTCAACACATACTGCTGTCTCTGCTTCTACTCTCTGTATTTCTTTGAAAAAGTCTGAAATAGTTAATCATTTACCACTTTTCAGTGCATTCTGGGTATTTGGGAGGTTCCCCTGTGCTTATCTTTAAAAAACGCTTCTAAACACACATAAATGCGGCCAAACAGATGTTTTTTAACCTGCGTTTTCCAGCAGTCAATTTCCATCATTCAAAAGTGTCCCGTGTACATGGGGGCCTTACAGGACATGTAAATGTACGTTATGACTTGAAGACCAGGCCTTTTTCTAACACATTTTGTTTACATTCAAAAAACAGTATTTTTGCTAGAAAATTACTTAGAACCCCCAAACACTATATATGTATTTTTTTTTTTAGCAGAGACATTAAAGAATAAAATGGTGATCGTTTCAATCTTTTATGTCACATGGCGTTTGCACAGCGGTTTTCAAAATTGTTTTGGGAAAAAAAAATACACTTTAATGAATTAAAAGAAAAACCAATATATAACCCAATTTTTTTTTTAATTTGAAAGATGAGGTTATGTTGAGTAGTAAATAGATATCTAACATGTCATGCTTTAACCCCTCGCACTCCAGAGGATTCCCTCCCCCCCCCTTCTGACGAGGCCATATTTTGCGTTACGTCGCTGTGTTACTTAACTGACAATTATGCGCTCATGCAACCCTGCACCCAAATTAAATTTACGTCCTTTTTTCCCACAAATAGAGCTTTCTTTCGGTGGTATTTGATCACCTGTGCGGTTTTTTATTTTTTGCTCTATAAACAAAAAAATACTGACAGTTTAAAAAAACAAACAAACAATTTTTGACTTTTTGCTATAAAACATATCCAGTAAAAACATTTAAAAGATCAAATTTCTTCATAAATTTCAGCCAAAATGTATTCTGCTCCATATCTTTGCTATAAAAAAATCCAAATACGTGTAAATTAATGGGTTTACGTGAAAGTTATAGCGTCTACAAATGGCGGTATAGATACTGAGATTTTTATTTCTTTATGCTAGTAATGGCGGCAATCAGCGACTTATAGCAGGACTGCGGCGGGCACTCTGACACTGGGGGGGGGGGGGACTGACTAACTGCCACTGCCATCCCAATGACACTAACACAGTGATCAGTGCTAATAAAAAGCACTGGCACTGTACTAATGACACTGGGCAGGAAGGGGTTAACAACTGGGGCAATCAAAGGGTTAACTGTGTGCTGTTTTACTAGGGAGACACACTGGCAGAGAGATACAAAGCAGCATGTCCATCCTGACAGGAGAGAGACCTGTGTTGTTTACAATCAGTGTTACTTGGCGATCACAGGGTGCCAGCGGGGAATCTCCGTCCGGGACCCGGCGATTGACATCTGTAGCCTGCCAATGGCTGCATGGATAGGGCGGCGCACGTGCCTGCCCCCTACCCTAAAATGGAAATCACACACACACACAT